GAACATATTCACTATTTAAGTAAACACATGCTATTGAAACAAAAAAACGAGTTTTTTGCAAGGGAAAAAAATGGCGGAAAAATGATTTTTTGGCAAAAAAAAAAGATTTTAAGGGAAAAAATTATTTATGGTCTTAATATTAAAAACAAAACATATTCACTATTTACGTAAAGTAATTGAGCAATTAGACTCCTTGTTTCAAGGAAATCAATGTTTTATTTCTTATAGTTCGTATTAGACAAGTTACATTTGGACTTGCCTGCAGTTACATTTCTGATCAGCGTGAGTTACATTTCTTTACACGCGAGTTACATTACTCTGCTACTCGACACTGGAAAAATAAAAAATAAGTTATTGTTCACACGTGAACAGTAACACACGTATTTTTGTCTGTGGGAGCAGCATGCTCACGGTGGGCTGCTCCCACGGTATAACAACTGCAGTCTTACCCCTGTATTAAAGCACAGAGAGACTGTTTCCGGATGACCCATAGTGAAAATCCCGTCCAAAATTGCATGGACTGACTACTGCTTCATAACAAAGAAGCGCAGACAGTTTAGTGAGCCATTTTGTTTTATTCCATCATAATCTCAAGCCAAAAAATAATAAATCTTTGGCTCCAGCAAATGATGGAAAAAGGAATACATCTACATGATAACATAAATTCTAAATTAACCTCGAACCATGAACTAATGTTCCATAGCACATACATTTTCAACTGAACATAAAATACATAAATGTTTCATAATGATTCGAACCTTCATACACTATGCAGAGACCATTAACTGCAAGTAGGGGTGGATTCGGTTCGGGCCACCCGACCCGTGACCCGGCCCGGCCCGGTACTGTGCGGGCTCCGGACCGGACCGGTCGGGCGGTCCGGGACCGGGTGTGGACCCGAACCGGTGGGAATGGGCGGGGCGGGCACGGTGCTGGATAAATGTGACCCGGCCCGGCCGGGTCGGGCCCGAGCCCGGGTCTGGTCTGAATTTAAAAAAAAAAAATTAATTGGGCTACTAGCCGTTGGGGGTGGGCTGGGGACAACCCAAAAGGCTATATAGCCGTTGGGTGGGGTGCAGGGGGGGTCCGGGGGGTTGGGTGGTGGGGGTAAAAAAACCTATAAGTACTCCTAATCTTAAACATTTTTTCAGATCTCTTCTCCAATTCTTCCTAAATCCTATTCTTAACTCTCTACTCTCTAATTCTCTTATTCTCCATTCTCCAATATATTATATTTATATTTATAGTTTATATTAATTATCTACTTATATAAACTATAAATAGATATAAATAGTATTATATTACTTATATTTGTTATCTAATTATATATTACTTATATATTTATTATATCTATTAATATAGTTGGAATTATATCTAATTAATTTGAAGTCATTCTATTACTCCCATCCGAAAAACCGAAAGTCCGAAAGAGGTACGAAATTATTCTATTATTTACACTTGTTTAATTACTAGTTAATTTGCTACATTTGACTCTTGTTTAATAGTTAGATAAATAGTTAATTACTTTTTTACAATTTTTTATTAATTGCTACATTTGACTCTAGTTTAAAAAATATGTTGTACACAAAACTAGTTAATTCACTAGTTAACTTGCTATAACTCGATTTAATAGTTACATAAATAGTTAATTAGTTTTTTACATTTTTTTATTAATTGCTACATTTGACTCTAGTTTAAAAAAATATGTTGTACACAAAAGTAGTTAATTCACTACTTAATTTGCTATAACTCGAATTAATAGTTAGATAAATAGTTAATTACTTTTTTACAATTTTTTATTAATTGCTACATTTGACTCTAGTTTAAAAAATATGTTGTACACAAAACTAGTTAATTCACTAGTTAACTTGTTATAACTCGATTTAATAGTTACATAAATAGTTAATTATTTTTTTACAATTTTTTATTAATTGCTACATTTGACTCTAGTTTAAAAAAATATGTTGTACACAAAAGTAGTTAATTCACTACTTAATTTGCTATAACTCGAATTAATAGTTAGATAAATAGTTAATTACTTTTTTACAATTTTTTATTAATTGCTACATTTGACTCTAGTTTAAAAAATATGTTGTACACAAAACTAGTTAATTCACTAGTTAACTTGCTATAACTCGATTTAATAGTTACATAAATAGTTAATTAGTTTTTTACAATTTTTTATTAATTGCTACATTTGACTCTAGTTTAAAAAAATATGTTGTACACAAAAGTAGTTAATTCACTACTTAATTTGCTATAACTCGAATTAATAGTTAGATAAATAGTTAATTACTTCTTTACAATTTTTTATTAATTGCTACATTTGACTCTAGTTTAAAAAATATGTTGTACACAAAACTAATTAATTCACTAGTTAATTTGCTATAACTCGATTTAATAGTTACATAAATAGTTAATTAGTTTTTTACATTTTTTAGATGGATCGTCCTAGATATTCGGTTGATATGGGTAACCTCGAGCGCAACCGAACGAAAGAGCTTGCAAGGAAGAGATCCCGCAAAGGTAAATCACATATCGGCTCTTCATCTCAAAGTCGAGATGATTTTGATACAGGTTACGCAAGGAGGGATGGGGATGCGATGACCGACGAACAACTAGAACAAGAATTGCACCGACATAATTCCCGCTTTTTCAAGACCAACCGAGGACCATTGACGAAGAAGAGCTCGAGGACGAGGACGACGATGTGGAGGAAGCAATTCCGGAGAGCCACGACGACGAGGAGGAGGAGGGTGGCGGCAGCCATGACGCCGACCAAGCAGCCTCATCCCAAACAGGTACAAAAAAAAGTAAATCTGAATTAATGGCTAATAATTTTTCTAAGTGGAAGGACCCGAACACCGGGAATTGGACCGCAACTTGCAATTGGTGCAAGAAAAACTATAGCTTGGGGATTTCCGGCGGATACGGATCCGCCACAAGACACCTTAAGTCCAAACACCCGGTGGAGTATGCAAAATTAGGCGGTGGAACGGGGAAGCAAACGCAAATATCGAGGTTTGCAAATAACCAACAAGCTTTTGGTAATTTCTCATACAATGATGCACAAAATTTGACAGGTATGGCTAACTTACTTGTTGAAGAAAATTTGTTGTATTTGTTTTCTGAAAACGGTTAAGAAAGAAATTTCAAGGCTTTATGGTGCGGAAAAGGTAAGGTTACAAAATTATTTTGCAAACTTTGATGGACGTGTTACTGTATGTTCTGACATATGGGAGGATACTTATCATAATTTACATTATTTGGGTCTGACCGTACATTATATTGATAATGATTGGCATATGCATAAACGTGTTCTTGCTTTCCGTGAATTTAATGATCGTCACACCGCTGAACATATTTATATTTTGATTGAACGTATTTTAATTGAGTATAATTTAATTGATAAGGTGTTTGCTATTGATTTTGATAATGCTACTAATAATACTGCTGCTATTCCTAGATTGCGTGAATTGTGTGGTTCTACTTCTTTGATGGGTAGATTTTTTCATTAATGATGTGCATGTCATGTTCTAAATTTATGTGTGCAAGATGGTCTAAAAGCGTTGGGAGCATCGTTGGAGGTAGTCAAGGGGGGGGGGGGGGGGGGGGGGGGGATTAGACGTATTTGATAGAAAGAGGTGAGAGATATGTGGCTTTTCCTAAAGATTTGTCTATTCGTTGGAATAGTACCTATAAGTTAATTGAAATTCTTCTTAGATATAAACAACATTTTCCTGCTTTTAAGAAACAATATGATAACTATATTATAAACTCGGCTGAGATCGACACTTGTGAAAAAATTTGTAATGCTTTGATATATTTTAATAATGCAACTGAAACTTTTAGTCATGTTTATAAACCTACCTCAAACCAATTTATTCGTGAAGCTGTTAATCTCGCCGGTGCTTTTTCAAATTTTGAGAATGCTGATTATGTGAGTTATTTTGCTGGTTTTATGAAAGAAAAGTTTTTAAAATATTATTCACATATTCCGCATATTTATGGTATTGCATTTGTTCTCGATCCTCGTTTTAGACTTGGTTCTTTAGAAGAATGTTTGAATTATCATTATGCTGTTTTTTTTGGTCCATTGCCAATGTATGAGGACAATCCAATTGATCCGAAAAAAAATACAATGAGGTTAGTGATATATTTTATGCATTATTCAATGAATTTCATGCACAATATGACAATGCGCCCCCTCCCCCGACACAAACATCATCTAAAGGAAAATCAATTTTCAAATCTACGTTTGTCAATCTTATTAAAAAAACGAAATCAACTCCCGCTACACAACAAAGCACAATTAATGAGATTTCTTTGTATTTAACTTACGATGTTGATTTTGAAGAAGATGATGATTTTGACGTACTAAACTGGTGGAAGGGAAAAGAAAGAATGTTCCCGGTTTTAGCAAAGATGGTTAAGCAAGTGCTATCAATGCCGGTTTCAACGGTTGCCGTGGAACAAGAATTTAGTTCAGTCGGCAATGTCCTAACACAAATCAAAACGAGGTTGAGCGCTGAATCTCTTGAGATGCTTATATGCTACCACGATTGGTTGAAAGCAGTCCGTATAGCTCAAGAAATTGACATCACCTCATCCCAACACTTTATGGATGAATCTACAACTGAGGGTGACTCTACCTATGACGGAGATTCCGATTAAAAACAATTATAGTTCCTATTTAATTTTCAAATGTAGTTCCTATTTCATTTCAAATAAATGCACTTGAAATTTGTTTTTTAATACTTGTATAAAACTATAAAGTATAAAATATAAATTAAAAAATATATATATTTAACCGGCCCGGCCCGGCGGGTGGCCCGACCCGTGACTCGGGCGGGTGGCCCGGCCCGAACCGGACCCGTCCAACCCTCGGGCCGGTCCTGGGCCCATGTGATACGAACCGGCGGCCCAACCGGGCCTAGGCCCGGCCCGAATCCATCCCTAACTGCAAGTCTGCAACCAAGTCTGGCACACACACGAGATACATGGTACCAAAACCATAGGCCTAAACTTAACAAATGTACACTATCATCCCAATATGGTATGACCTGAATATGATATGCAAGTGTAAACTACCCAAAAAACTTGCATTTCAAGCATATAAGCCCATATACATCTCAAAAAAGCTTAACATCCTACACACCACCAACATATTTGCAAAAAAGGCAGTAGGATATTCCCAATACTATTAAAATGTTTGAATAACTTCTAAAATGTCAGAAGAACATATAAATAGCAACACTAATGCCCATCATTCTCTTCCATTGAGTCAAACAAGGCATGGAACCTCTCTTGCAGTAGTGGGATCACCATGAACTTCCACCTCTTCAGCACCTCTTTTTCTCAAATTTCTAACTAATCACCAAATCAAGTGTATGACAAATATGAATGAAAAGGGAGTTACTGGTGACATACAAAGAGCCGGATATGTTTTTATTCAGGTAATAAAATTATTTGAGGAAACTAATAAGATATCCAAGTGTCACTCAATCATCTTCATTAAGCAGACACAATGTTTCCATATTTTCTAAAAAACCCAAAAAATCACAGCCTTGTATTTCGAAACTGTATCCAACATTTCGTATGTGGAAATCTAGCGAGTAGGGCAATCAAGACGCAAAGACAAATTGCAATTAATCTTTAACTTGAAAATCATTAACCTATTTGGAGATTTTTTAATATATCTCGCAACCGCGCTAAACTTATCAATGAAATTAACATATTCGTTCAAACCATCCCACACAATAAGAATAATTATGTGTGTGATGCACCTCACGTGTAACTAATCAACTTTAGTGATGCCCCCACTTTTTGAACATATTTTTTAAATATAGACAAGCAACATGATTAGAGCTAGTATTATCAATTGTGACAGTAAACAACTTCTCACCTAGCCCCCAAACATTTAGACAATCCTCCACAGATCTACCAATTGTCTCACCTTTGTGACTAGAAATTGGACAAAAAAAATGATTCTTTTTTTTGCAATCTCCATTGATCATCAATAAAATGAGTGGTGATACACGTATATTATTCTTTGATTTTTTAAAGAATAAATCAAGTGTCAGTAATAACACTAAATCTCTGGCATGATTTTTTAAAAAATCTTTCAACCTCCCTTTTTTTCAAGATGACACTTGTAACAATCACGTGCAATAGTGGTTCGTGACGATATAAGAAAAAGGGGGCAAGTTGCAAAAAATGTCTAGATCCGAGGTTTTCCACAAAATAAAGGGCAGCTCATCAATAATAACCATATGGTATAATGCCCCTCTCACTTCCTCTAAATTAACACCCTCTTTATTTCTCAAAGAATCACCCTCTCTCTCAATAGGACTCGCACAATTATCAATGAGATGTACTTGCTTACCTCCTTTATGTCTATTGGCCGAATTGTTTTTGCAAAACTCAGTGTGATGCTTCACGTTTGTCGATCGATTACATTCACATCTGCAGCAAAGGTGGAGTCACAATAGATGAACTTGGCTCTCAATTTTTCTTCGTCATCTAAATACTCCCAGAAATAATTTCAATAAATATTTGCAATGGAGCCAAAGATTCATTATTTTTTGGCTTGAGATTATGATGGAATAAATCCAGAACCAGGGGTACTAGTTCTAGACCCGGAACCGGAACGAGGCTAGAACCAGGTCCATCCTAAAGTAGAGACATATCCAGAGTAGTACTTCGGTGGCAACTTTTCCAACCTCAAAACTGTACAAAAGAATAAATATAACTCCACTGTATTAAGATTAAAAACTAATGATAGAAAGAGAGGTGCAGATTAACAGTGGCTACAGGCTCAATTGAACCTAGTGCCAACATACTAACAAGTAACAAGTTAACAACATAGAATAAAAGCATCAAACTAAACCTATTAGCTACTGGGTCAATTAGAATTTAGAACCTATGTGACCATAAACTTTGCACGTTTAGACTTTTACACCTTCATTTGATTAGTAACATGTTATCAAATTAATCAATCACAAACGATTAATGAATCAAAACCTAAAGAATTGCAAAATAACATTAACACATGTGAAACCAAAACAGTGAAGGAGGCATGTAAAACCAATTAACAGTGAGAGAGCACGCAAAATAAGATCAGATAAAAGTTAATGGTATAATTAGTTTCTCTTATAAATTTATACTTTCATTTCAATTTATATTTGTTCTTTACTTATTCCATCTTACCAAAACGACCAAAAAACGTTGCTTATGCGTACATATTTTTTGAAAACTTTTTGTTAACAACCGGGAGTTCTCCCATGTTCATGGTTTACCAAAAGAAGTTCACAATATTTTAAAAAACGTTTCAACAGCAGACCAGTATTCAGCAGTCCATATAACTTTATTTATAAATTAATATAGATTCAAGTTAGATTATTCTTACTTACTTTTAAATTGGTTTAAATCATTTAATGTAGAGTTCTCGTTTTTCTCTACACCACAACACTTAAAACATATAATGAAAACGGAAAAACAAAAGTAGCACAAATTTATATATATGTGTATATATATATATATATATATATATATATATATATATATATATATATATATATATATATAATACAAGAAACAACTCATCCATAGAAGTATGACATTAAAATCATTTTGGAACAAAAAAGCATAAATTTAATAGAGAGAGAGAATTATACAGGAGATTCAGCTGCGACAGGGACCGACTTGATGGGGCAATGGAAGGCTGGACACAGCTTGGGGACTGATGAAATCTGACGGGTAGAACCTCAATTTACTCAAGTCCATAGTATCATGTCCTGAAAAGCAGGGTTAGGAGATAAACTTTTTCAGAGAGGGAGGACAAAGAAAATTGAAGAACTATGCGCAGAAAATCTCACTAAATGGAAAAGAGAGCTTGCTAGTTTGAGTTTATATCGGGTATATTTCTTACCTTAAACAAAACAATAGGAGGACTGTAAAAACACTGATCAAGACTTCTTGGAAAAGGGTGACTGCAAGAACACCGAGCAAGACTTCTTGAAAAAGGAAGGCTAGGGCCGCTAGGCGGAGAATGGAAGATGACAGCTAGCGCATACAGGTAGGTAATACTCCCTCCGTCCATAAAACAATGTCCCGCTTTCTCAAAATGGAAGTCCCTAAATTAAAGTCCTACTTCTATTTTTAGGGGAAAAAATGTGTATTGGCTTTAATACCCTTGGGCACTTATTCGACTATATGGGCTGCCCTTTCATTTGCCACTTCCGTCAGTTGGCTTTCGTACGCCATTAATTCCCTCTACACTCTACCTTATCTCCTTCCCCTACCGCTTTTGTAACTCACCTCCTCCACTGCTCCTTCTCACTCTACCTCATCTCCGCCGCTGCTAGCCCCTACTTCTCCTCTGCTGCGACCCCCTACTTCTTCTCCTCCGTTGCTACCCCTACCTACCTCGTATTTTCACTGCAACCGCTCATCTCAGAGCCCTGACCTGTACATGGAAAGGAAACATAATCCTACCCCTATTTGTCCGATAAGGAACTCAGATCTTATTAACCAATCGCATGCAACATCGATCCCAGATGTCCAAGAGCAAACATATTCGTAATCTAGTTTCTTATCCAGTCTCACCTCTGATGTCACATGCACCATCACCCAATCCTATGCCCCTACGTATTCACTTTGGTTACTCCAGTGAGTCTAAAACTGATCCAGGTTTATGTGACTTGAACAATATTCTAACCTTTTCAGTTTCCCAGCTTCACTCAACGAGGGCTTCATAGCACTTGAATGTCTTTTAATTTGTATTTTTTTAAACCATCTATAGTCTATGGATTTGGAAACTTGCATTGATAGCCCAGAGCACTCATATTTTTTCTCTGATGCAATGGTATTTCAGAAAGCTTTTAAGAATCAAAGGCTACCCGTTTTCTGCCCACATTTCCTTTCCAATTACTTTGCATATTTACAGGCTCACCACCAAGCATTTGCTCTTTTGCTTTCTTCCACAACCTCTGCACACTGCGGTATGTAATGTTGAACTCTGTCGTCGTGTTCTTAATGAGATCCCTCTGAAGTTTCCCTTCACTAGCACTACCTAACAGCTTTTCAATTAATCTTCTCCTATCATCAGTTCTCAATTTTGGTCTGATACCTTTCTGCCTTTGAACTGTAGGCTGATGTGCTTCATCTTCTGATTGTGAGTTGTTTGCAGGTGATAAGGGGCCGACATCAACCACATCCAAAGGCAACTTGTTAAGATCGAAGAGAGTGCACGACCAAGTGTCACTAAAGCCATGGACTGTCCTTGACCGGTGTACATTGAATGCTTGTATCTAATGCTAATCACTTGTAATGAATGTGGTGTACTTATAGTTATAGGTAGGGCTGGCATTTTGAACCGAAACACCGAAAACCGAACCGAAAATAACCGAACCGCGTTGAAACAAAACCGAACCGGACCGAACCGATAATTTTTGGGACCCGAAAAAAAATCGGTTCGAAATCGGTTTGTACTCTCAAAATATCGGTTTGGACCGAACCGAACCGATTTTTTTATTAATAATAATAATTGTTTTTATCATAGTTAATTTCATTTACTAAATATACAATACCGTTGGGAGAGGATCATGAACGTATCAAATGCCTTGGTTCGCCGGTCGCGTAGTGTGTTAGCCATCCGGTTGGTCACGGGTTCGAATCCCGCGTGATACTTTTTAGGTTGATATGCTTGAAGCTTTTTTTTCTCTTCTGTGGGTTTTTCATCCCACACCGGAAACAAAAGGAGTTTACTCCTCAAATGCTTCTATATAATAAGGGATGACCTCAAACTTGTAGTTGTGCCTGAATGGGTCATGTATTCCGGTCCTAGACTATCAAAGTGGACTTTAATGTACTCAAAAATCTAAATGTCACATTTTTGGCTCATGGAATTGAATTCTAGTTCAAGTTTAATTTTTTTAGTGATATATAATTTGTATATGTCAGTTTTTTATCGGTTTTTGATAAACCGACCCGAAAAATCGGTTCCCAATAAATTGGGACCCGTTTGATGATCGGTTCGGTTTCGGTTATGATATTTGGAATAACCGAAATTTCGGTTCGGTTCCAAATTTCATTGGATCGGTTTGGGTCCCGAATCGAAACCAGCCCTAGTTATAGGCCATTGGTAGATTAGAAAGTGTAAAAGCATTTAAAGTGAAATTTTGGAGGGAGTTTCGGATTTTTGGCAACCAATTTGTCTTGGAAGACAATTGGTATGCGATGTAGCTTACCATCTTGCCTAATTAGACATTGTACTTTAAAGCTTAACGTCCACTCATTTTCTTCTCCTTATTTCGGGCCCCCTTCCCTTTCTTTTTTTACTGTGGGTAGTAAGGGTAATACCCTCACCTTTGTGAGGGTATTTTTGGAAAGTCAAACTCATAAATTTCTTTGTCTTATGGACGGCAGGAGTACAAAAGAAGTTGTGTTTAGAAAATGACATTTGTTGCAATTTGGCGTACACACTTTGTAAACACCGAGTCGAGTTGGATCACAATCATTGTTTATGAATTTATGTCACAAACAAGTCATGTCTGAGCGAAGAAATCTATCTGAAAGTGTAAATTGTTGAGACAGAAGACTAATAACTTCTATAACAAACATTGGTTTGTGCAGCCACAATCAGTTTGTGTACAATGCATAGATGTCTATGTTAGGGTGCATGAAAACAAATGTCTATACGTGGAAGTGCATTGCCTCTTTGCCTCTTTCATTATGATGACAAGTTGACAACCATATCATTAAGTCACCAGCATATTAAATACAGCTTCATTAAATATTAAAAATAGCCTCAAGAGTAACACACATGGTTGAACTATGTGAATAACAGAAAAAAGAAGACATGTCCCTGGTTCTTAATGTAACTTGGGCTGAACTTGTTGAAATTGTGAATAAACTCACTGAGGGTGTTGATATTGTGCCTGAGATAGCTTAATTGTGGCTGAAATTGGTGAACTTGTTGGACCAGTTTAGAAGATATTTTCTTAATAAATTAAAAAATAATAGCATGTAAAAAGAGTATAGGTGTCACTTGTATTCATTTCAGAAAATTTAGTAAAAAAGTATTTTTTTACACTAATCTTTCATTATTGACCAGTCAACACATTGACTGGTGCACATTGGAGTCCCCGCAAGGTGAGAGTCCAGAGAAGGGTACTACCATACGGGTGTATAAGGAGCAAGTCTTCCCTTGCTATTTTTTACAAGAGGTCACACCCAAGACTTGAACTCGTGACCTCTTACACACACAGCAACAGAAACCTGTGCAGCAAGAAGCTTGGTTGAAAATTGAAATAGGCCATAAAGGAAAGGTTAGAATACCTCTTCTTCAGCTGACGATCAATTGCACTGATATTCTTCATCCCATACATAACTTAGACATCTGAGTACCTGCAGTATCTCTGTGATTCTTGAATGGGAAAAATCACCTATTGTAAACTTTTCTACAGATCTCTCAACTTCAATCAAGCTGTGCCCAGCCTCTTTCTTTAACCCACTTCCTTTCAACATCTTTCTTGCACCAGCAACACAATCCCACATCCCATCTGACGCATATAGATTAGATAGCAAAACATATGGTGAAGTAGTAACAGGTTCAACCATCAGAAGCCTCTTAGCCACGCGTTCCCCTATGACAACATCACCATGCAGCCGACATGCCGAAAGCAGGCAGCCTAGAACAACTGGATCCTTCCCAAAATGGTACTTCTGCATGTATTCTTCAGCACTTTTTAGTCTCCCAGCTCGCCCCAGAAGATCAATTAAGCAAGAAAAGTGCTCAATATTAGGAGTGATCCCGTGAATATATTGCATGGAGACGAAGAAGGATTGGCCCTCATCAACAAGTCCTGCATGGTTGCAAGCCATTAAAAGTCCTAGGAATGTAACCGAATCTGGTTTGAACCCAAGCTTCTCCATTTCCTTGTACAGTTGTATTACTATTCCTCCGCGACCATGATTTGCAAATCCAGCTATGATGGTATTCCAAGATACCAAATTATGGCAATGCATTAGCCTGAAAACAGAATAAGCATGTCGCATACATCCACATTTAGCATACATGTTAATAAGAGCATTGCTAACAGTTACATCTACGCTCTGCCTAGTTCTAACTAAGTGAGCATGTATCTCACCACCTAGACGTATAGAAGCCATGCCAGCAGATGCAGAGAGAACACTCGCATACGAAAAGTCATCCACATATCCCTGTGCCATATATCTAAAGACGTTCAAGGCTTTGCTGTGATCATCACAATTAGAATAGGCAGCAATCAATGTGTTCCATGATATGATATCTGTCTCACTTATCATTGTAAAAACCTTCTCTGCTTCATCAATCAAATTCAACTTTGAGTACATTGTCATTAATATGTTTCCAATGAAAACACTTGAGTCAAGTTTCAACTTGATGGTTTGGCCATGCAAACTCATTCCTATACCCAAATCCTCATGTGTACAACAAGTTCCTAACAATCCAACATAAGTGAACCGGTCTGGAATCAATCTCTGTTGGCACATAAGTTTAAACATCTCAAAGCCTCTCTGTTTATGATTATTTTCTACCATACCAGTAATTATTGCGTTAAAGGAAACAACACTGGATGCTGGTGTACTAGCAAAAACTGACAAGGCGTCATCACACTTGTTACATTTCATATACATCGACATTAGTGAGTTGGAGACAAAAGAGATAGAGGAGTATCCTAACTTGATAGACTTGCAGTGGATCTGTTGCCCATCTTTCAATGCCAAAAGATTGGCACAAGAGCTTAGGCTGCTAGAAAATATATATTCATTTGGCTCTAGATTCATTTGACTGAAGAGCTTGACAGCCATCACATGCTTCCCAGATTGATCATAACCAGATATCATGGCTGACCAAGTCACTAAGTTTTTGTTAGGCATCTCATCAAACACTTGGCTGGCAAATTTGAGGTTACAACACTTAGCGTACATGTTGAGAACATGATTCGAGATTATAACATCACACATCATGCCAGTCCTAATAGCAACTGAATGAAGAGAAAGGCCGCATTTGAGTGACTTAGTCTTAGAACAGTGATGCAAAAGTGAAGAAAGAGTTTCCACAGCCATCTTACACATCTCAGGACAATCCAAAGTAAATGGGTGTCCCGTCTTGTACTTCTGTCACATGCCAAACATGGTAGTTAGAACATTTGTGCCAGTATATACCCAGGGGCGGATCTAGCATTTGCATCCAGGTGGGGCCAAAATTTTAAAGATATAAAATAACTGTGTTGCAACAAAAAAAGCCAAAGACAAAATACAATACTATAAAAATAAGAGTTTTCATCAAAGTCAAATACAAGCACCCAATAAATTTACAACTGTTCTTTACGGGAGTTCATCGACCGATAACCGTTTGATAATGACATCATTGTCAATTTTCAAGAAGATGTTTTTTTCTACTCATCCGGTTACTAAGATGAAAGTTGGGAAGAATCAAACTCTTCAACATTAAATGACTTTGTGTTTTGAATGTTGTTTTGTTATCATTTCTATTTGAAGTTTCTTCAATTTTACTTGAGCCTAGCACAATTCTTGGTGAGCTATATTTCTTAGCTCCTACTTCAACATGATCATAAAAACTCTTCATTACCTATACTAAAAGAGATTGAATTAGTACAATAATACAAAAAACTCATGAGTGAGAATATGCAATTAACACTAAAAAATGAGATTAATAATAACATATTAGAATGAAATACATGCTAATGTAAATCAGAAATCACAATTTATAAATCACAATCACATTCAAATCAGCATTGATACAATCATACATAAACATAGTTATAATATAGGAATTTTATCAATTCAGGACCCGAAAGATAGATTAATTATCAATTCAGGACCCGAAAGATGAAACGTATCAGTATAGGACCCGAATGATGGAAAACTATCAATTTTGGACCTAACGTTTCATAGGTTTTGATTTATTTAATTTTTTATTAATTCCATTACTAATTTTTGATAAACTTTTCTTCACAAAAGTTTATTAGTTTAATAAAACGAAATAATATTTAAAAAATTTTAATAAAAAAAATTATGACAACTTAGGTTCTAGATTAATAGTTTTCAATCATTCAGGTCCTAAATTGATAGTTTTTCATCATTCGGGTCCTATATCGATGCATTTTATCTTTCAAGTCCCGAATTGATAATTAATCTATCTTTCAGGTCCTGAATTGATAAAATTCCTATAATGTACTACTAATTTTATTTTATAAAGTGCAAAGCATGGAACTTTGGAAGAATAAAGGATAAACTTTACTACGTATTTTTTATTAAAGCCATTAAAGGCTTACAACCCTTCAACCCTTATGATTTCTGAGACGAGCGGAGCCATTAAAGGCTGAAATTCCTGAACCTAAAAGCTGTATTCCAAAACTGAAATAAAAAATATAATAAAATTAAATCATTAAAAAACCTACCTCAAATGGAAGACCAGAACACGAGTGTTCTGAGGCGTAGAGCACAGTCTCAGAGAGCCAGAGAGCGAGTCAGCCAGAGTCTTTCGGAGACCTCGCGGCTAGAGGCAGGGACCAAGGGCTCGGTGCTTGAATGTCAATTTGCTGCAATTTCACATATGGGCCAGTTTTAATTTTTGGCCTTCGGCTTTTGGAATATCCGAACATCATGAAGTTCCGCCCCTGTATATACCGCCTTCTGTCTCCGGAGATTGGAGAACCCACTAGCAGAGTTGTCGAGTTGAGACTTGAGAGTAACGAAGAGCTGAAGACCGAAGAGGGACTGTGCTCTTAAAGTCTAATAGCCTCGAAGCCAATCTGCGGTCGACGGTCGTTGCTTACAGCGCACTTGCATAGGACGCGTGAATGCGTGATTGGGACGTTTTTTATTTCGTTCCGGACGCGCCTGATTGTAGATAGCAGCTTGCTCCGCCCCTGATTGGGAGGAATATGCTAACTGCTAGTTTTGTTCGCCTGTGGTGATTGTCTAATTTTCTGGAACTAGGGACCGTGCCGTTCATTCGGAGGAGAAAATGTACCATCGCGTTTGAGCCGGGCGCCTTCAAATGCTGAAGATGGCAGCTCAGCTCGGGTTGTTGCGTTCTGTGTCTTCTCCGTGAAGAAGAGGAACACACGTACGGGCGGAGGTTCGCTGCGGCTTGAGGTTGGGTTTCGGCTGAAATAGTACTCCGTACTTGTTTCATTTTGGGCCGAAGGAATTAAGTACATGCATTTCCTTTGGGCTGATCTGGAGTGTCATTATTAACTGGGCTGAGTTGACCGAAGAAATTTTTAGTCAATGTTGGACCAAAGTTTTACCCAGGTGAGGAACTGAGGACTGAGGACAACATTATTTCAGGAAAGTTTTCCATCATAATTTGAAGAGAGGATTTAGAAGATTGTAACTTGAAGGCCTTGCTAAAATGGCATGAATAAAGATCATGGACAGGTCGTAAGAAGAGTTGGAGATCTAGCCGCAACTAAACACTAGGGCATTGGTTGATTCAAATGAGGGGAGGGAAAAGGAGGGTCAAGGAGGGAAAAGAAGGGAACTAGAAGGAAGGATTTTGATAAAAATCTGTGTTTGATTGGAGGAAATAGAAAGCCAATTTAATGAAATTATTTCTCAATTTACCTTTATTTAATAGCTTATTTAAATGGCGGCATACATCTAACTATTATGAATATGACTCCTAAGGTCATGAGTCATAATAACAAAAAATATTTACTCCCTCCGGTTCCAAAACAAATTCACTCACGGTTTATGATGCTTGACTGACTATAAAGCAACTTGATCTCTGTTCACGCTCGGATTATTTTTAGTAAATAAAATTTACATATTCAGAAACTACATTAAAATCGCTACAAAGTCTGATCAAGAAAATTTAAATTTGATAAAAATTTGATATATAAAGTAAAAGATTAAGAATGATTTAAGTTGAACAATGAATAGTGACTGTGAATTTGTTTTGGGACCAGAGAGAGTATATTTTTTTACTTTTTGATTTTTTACTTTTTTAATTTTCTAATTTTGGGATTTTTCATTTTTATGTTTTTATTTCTTTAAATTTTTAATTTTTTCAATAAACAATTAAAAGCCTAACCTTATTTGAACCTTTCATTTTTAAGCTTAACCTTATTTGAATTTTTCAATTTTCAATATTTGAAATTTTCAAATTTTAAATTTTCTTTTTTTTAATTTTAAGTTTTTTAATTTTTAAATATTTAATTTTTAAATTTTCAAACTTTTAATTTTTTTTAATGTTTTATTTTTAAATTTTTTAACTTTTAAATTTTTTAGTTTTATAGTTTTTGAATTTTTGAATTTCTTAGTTTTAAATTTTTTGATTTTTTAATTTTAAATTCTTTATTTTTTTAATTTTCTAATTTTTTAAGGTTTTTAATTTATTAAATTTTAATTTTTTGTTTATTAATTTTTTAATTTTTTAATTTTTAAATTTTTAATTTTTAAATTTTTTAATTTTTCAATTTTTTAATATTTAGTTTTTTAATTTTTTAATTTTTTAGTTTTTTATTTTTTAATTTTTTATTGTTTTAGTTTTCATTTTTCATTTTTTATTTTAAATTTTTACTTTTTAATTTTTTTTAATTTCTACTTTTTTATTCTTAAATTTTTTAAATTTTTTAATTTTTTGGTTTTTAAATTTTTAAATTTTTTAATTATTTTTAAATTTTTTAGTTTTTTAATTTTTAAATTTTTAAATTTTTAAAATTTTAATTTATTTTTTTATTTTTTTTACGTTTTAAATTTTTTCATTTTTTAAATTACGACGCTTTGTCCATTCATTTAAGGGTAAAATGATGGATACTTTGTCGTTATTAATACGTTTCCTCATAAATACCCCGATTTGGAGGTTGAGAATGGGAGGAAGCGAAAGATTTTGGAAGTCTTCCACTTTCCTCCTCTTCCGCCTTATTTCCTTCAACCAAACATACACAAATCACTCACTTCCATCCCCTTCCTTCTTATTTCTTTCAACCAAACATACACAAATCACTCACTTCAGTCCCCTTCCCTCTGAAACCCTCCAACCAAACTAGGCATAGGGCTATGAGGTGGAGGCATTGTGGTTTTCTTCTGCTTTTCTGTGTCAACCGGCATGGAGGGTGAAAGGAACATCACATTCAAGTGTATTCCTTTGCTTTCATGTTTTAGAGATTTGTTTTTCTCATTTTCAAAGTCGAAGAGAAATTACTCTTCATAGTACGAAATTTATATGTAAGTGAAAAAGTGGTCTATATGAACTCGAATGAATGGCGTATTATGTCCTACAATTTATAGGGTGCTTCTTCTTCTGTCAATTTTGATAGTTACTCCGTGTTTGGTTTCTTTTCAAATAAATGATGCAAGTTCTTCCAGGGTGTTATGCTATGTTCAATTGCTATTGATGTTATTTATCAAGTTTTAGATATGCTTTCTCAACCCGTCTATGACGACATCATTGATCTGCCCTCATGGGTGGATCCAGTGTTGTTCAAGACTATGCACATGAACACCCAAAAAATCAATTTTCTTTACCATAATTATGTCATTTTAGATTTTTCTAAAAATGTCGAGCTGTCCAAGACGCCGACAGGGTGTGACGGCACTAAATTCGTTGTGTACCTCAAAATAAATTCAATACTAGCACTAATACGTAGTATAGTGAAGTAGAGCTCATATCACAAGGAAAGGATTAATTTTCTTTTTTGAAACTAGTAATTAAAGGAGGGTTTTAGGATTGTTTGATTTTAATTAATTAAACACTAAGATTAACGACTTATGTGATTTTAATTAATGAGATAAAAGACGTGTTTTTACTACTTTTAACTTATCCCCTCTCGAATACTCAATCGAGGAGTATCTCCAATTCATCGAGAGAAGTTATTAATAACGACCGTTCATTAATAACACTTACTATTAGCCAAGTATAGAACATCGTCATATACCGACTTAATAGTAGCATTTAAATTCTTAACTCTTTGATGAAATCAATTAAAATTGAAAACCTCAACACAACGAACACAACGGTTTCGGTTTAACCAACACAATTAATCCATCTTAAGATTATTCACCACAATCGTGCATTAATAACCCGAAGGTGGTTACTTGCAAAACCATTAATGATTAACCATCGATTCATTGATCGTTTCTAGTAGTAATTAATGTCAAGATGTTAACTAATTATCATTTAGCAACACTCCCTAACATTAATATAGAGATATATAGAATAAGGGAAGAATTAATATTCAAGGGAAGAAGTAAGAAAATAACTCACAATTTTAACATTCAATAAGCTTCAAGAGCAAAACCAAGAAATGAGAGTTTAGCTCCTCATTTGAAGACTAAACAATGCTAGAAATATATAAATAAAATACTATTCTATGTTGAGATTAAGTATATGAAAGATGGAATATCAAATAGAAAGGAAAATGAGTGTATTTATATGTGTTTAGAGGTGGTAGAGTCAAATACCCGATCGGGTATATAAGATACCCGATCGGGTAAAAGATAAATGTTCACAAATATTTCTCCCATGATCCTTTGTTCCCGGATTTGATTTAGACACTCAATCAAGCAAATACCCGATCAGGTATATGTTATACCTGACCGGGTATATGACTTATTTCTCAAATCTTCTTTTTATTTTGTTCCATTGCACTTTCCTTGATCTTCCAAGGGTCCTTTTGATGATTTTTACCTAGTCAAAGCTCAGAATACTCTTAATCTAAACAAATTATAAACAAATAGGAAAAATAAAGTATTACACCAACAATGTGTAATTTTCCGAACAACAACAAATAAAACTAGTTAAAATTACAAAAATAAACGATAACATTCTATACTATCAGGGTGTTGTCTCCTTCAAGCTCCAGTTGCTACCGCACATCATTGCTCTGTTGCAGCAATTCAGTCGTCGCCGCCAGACAGAGCTCTGTCGTTCGAAGTGAGTTGCATCTCCCTAGTCACGAGTTCCATATTGCCAGCCTCGAGTTTTGCTCCATCTCGCAAGTTGCAATTTCGAATCCACGGCACCAATTCACCAATGGTCTAGTCTCCTTAATCCACGGGCTGAAGGTAAATGGTCCCACCGCGACATCTTCTTCTAATTCTAGTTTTTGTAAATCTAGTACCCCGTATGAAATTTATAAATTCATTTTCTAATTCTCATTTCCCATGAGTCACTACTTCCCTTGAAAGGATTGGAATATATGAAGTATAATGTTAGGTTTAGTGGATTGAAAGAATATAATTCTATACAAATTGATGAATTTCTGAGCTCTTAATGTCTGCAATATAATTTGCTTAAAGTTTTGTTCAATTTAGTGATGTTTTACTCAACATTTGCTTAATTTTTTGCTTAATTTATTTGTTGTGTCCGGTTATTGCATAATTAATTTGTGTTGATTTGAAGGATTTCTTTAGAAATATTTACTCCATTTATGTAAGTACTATTAAATAATATGAGTACTCTTTATGGAAACCAAAAAGGTTTGATAATAAATATGACCCTAATATTACCTTTAGAGTTATCATGGACATGAATATGACTTCTTTTAGAGTTGGACATAAAAGTGACTAAATTAAATGAAATTAAATGGTTTAACCTCTAAATAGTAAATACAACTCCATTGAAAACAAAAAAGAACTAAACGTGTAGACCTAAATAAATGTACGCAAATCCCCTCCATATTTTCTTTGACGCAAGAGCATTGGATGAAGCCACGACCCTCCATTTTTATGTAAGACCCGACATCCGAGCATGATGTGAGTTTTCTCGCAGTTAAAATTGATCGTAGTATAGAGTATAAGTATGAGTATCATCTCCACAGAGACGGACAAAAGGGAATTAAAGATTAACCAAATTTAACGATTAAAAAGAAACTAAATAAAATAAAATGCGATTGTGCGAGATTGGTTGATTTTGAAAATAAAATAATGCGAATGAGCGATTAAAATAAAAGATTGGTTTCTCTATAATTAATGACGAAGGGAACAGTGATTGATTTCGGAGTAACCAGATTTCTGGCAGATCAAGCCTAATTACATGAATTTAATTTAATTGAGCCTAGCTAATCATTACTGAGTTCTTACCGCTTTCACGGCGTAGAGTACAACAATTTAGGGGACCACACAGATCTCTCATGCGACAAGATCCTAAATTATTG